TACCTTATCGAACATAAAAAAAAAATCCTTATCTGATGCACTGCTATGACACAAAGGTGACTCTGGGTTGTCAGAGGCTTTGCTACTTAAATAAAGACTCTAGGAGGTCATACTAAATTGGAAAGACTTCAAAAATAAGCTTCACATTGGTCTACATCTATGTCATCCAAAAAGAAACATAAGTTCAGATTGTCTTATAACCAGAAAGTTGATTAATAGGGGATGATTTTTTTTTTGCAAGTCACACAAATGCACAAAGGCCATCTGCTAGGGCACAGAGGGGTTGTAATCTGTGTCAGTGGTAGGAAAACCCATACTGATGAAATCACAGGTTTTTGAAGAATTTAATAATTATCATTTTGGTCATAATATAGGTTTTCTCCCCCTTCACATTTAGCTTGCATAAAACCCAAGACTACCTAAAATCAGTATTGTTTTTAAGTGTGCAGTTACACAATTTTTTCCTTTCAAAGATATCTCAATTTTAAGACATGACCTACTGAAATTGAATCCTACTGTTCTTTCTAGTGTTGACAAAAGCCTAAAAATGAAAGTTTTGTTTTAAATGGCAAGAATCCCTAAGATATCCTTGATTGTCTTATGATTTTTTGTAGAGGAAGTGGAGGAAGAGAAATAAGAGTGATAGAAACATCTCTTTAGAATTACATGTATTTGACTGAGAAATATATGGCCCCAGAAATAGTCCTCTTAAGAAGGATATAGGTAAGGATATATAAGAAGGATAGAAGCATATAAGTAAACCAAAGGAATGGCTTTGTAGGTGTTTTCAGCTAGTGCTAGTCCTAGTCAAGATTGTGAAGTCATTGAGCTTTAAGCTTGGAGTCCTAGGACTTGTATTCCAATCTCCCACTTAGATTGTTGTGGATTTGGGGAACTCACTAAACTTCCACGGACCTCAGTTTCCTCCAGTGTAAAATAGGGATAATATTTAACCCTTGGCCTGACAACTCCCCAGGGCTGTCATGAGAGTCAAATGAAAATAATGCTTATGAAAGAGCTTTTTAACCATGAAATGCTAATCAGATGTCATCACAGTTCAACTAGTGAATTATAATCTTGTTTTTTTAAACATCATTGGTACTTGATTTCTCCATCCTCTGCTCAGTTATCTAGTGTCTTTACTCTCCCTCTATGAAACCAAGCTGTCAATACAGAACATGACAGTTATTCACACTGAGGCGTAAATAACTGTAAAACCTTGGTATGTTATTCCTCCCAGGGGTGTTGTAATAGAGAATAAAATCTTAAAATGAATAAATGATACTATGATATTAGATTTCTAGGCATCGTTGAGTGTGCCCCATTTTGGTTTGGGATGGAAGTCTTCTTGCCATGCCTGAAATCACATGCTTCACATGACCAAGTATTAGGAATTTATGGTCTGAGATCCTAATTTTAATTGTAGTTTCAACTGAAGAGTGCCACAAATAGATTTCTTATGAGAACAACCATGTGAGTGAGTTGTGAGTTTCTAATTTCCTTAAACAGCTTTCTAGGAATGACTCCCCTGGGATGCATAAGACCAAGCATATTCTTGGTCGATAGATTCCATGCCACAGATTTCTTGTTGACCCAGTGTCTTGTTTGGCTCTTGGATTGATTACACTTCCAATAAATTGAAGACCTGCTCATGTAAGAATTCTCAAGGATTGAAAATCCTCTATTGACCCTCACTGTTCATTTATCCTTGTATGGACTGAAACCTGTTCTTTGGATTCCTGAATCAGATGTCAGACAGCTGTGGCTTTAGGAAGAAGCAGGAGCTTCAGCAGGCCTCTCAAAGCACTGCTAGTTTTTAAAATGACTAATCTTATCAGGCCAAAGAAAATGATTTTTCTCTTAAAATTATCTATAGTAAGTGAAGCACAATTGACTTGTGTATGGTAGCTAGTAGCCAAGGAGCCCACTCCCTCCTGCTCCAGTTCTTGCTCCAAAATGCAAACTTACGTCAAAATAGACCTGAACTAGATATAATTGCGATAGTCATCTATTATTTTTAAAAATCCTGGAATGCATTCTATAAATTGAACAGAAATTAGGCCATAGATTTTTAAACTAAAGGGACCTTAAAAATTGTTGGTTTTAAGGGGCAGCTGGGTGGCACAGTGGATAGAACACTAGACCTGAAGTCAGAAGGACCTGAGTTCAAATCTGGCCTCAGACCAAACACTTGACACTCACTAGCTGTGTGCCCCTGGGCAAGTCACTTAACCCCAATTGTCTAAAAACAAAAGAAAAAAATTGTTGGTTTTAACCATCCATTTTACAGATTAGAAAACTGAAATCCATTGAGGTAAAGCGACTATCCCAAGGTCATACAGCTAATAAGCATCTGAGGTGGTATTTGAACCCAGGTCTTCCTGACTCCAAGTCTAGTGCTCTAGCTGTTACATGACGTGAGCTTACCTGTTGTTTGGAATAATAAGTATGATGGTGCTTACTTGGGCCCCACTGTCTGAAGGTCAAGAATGTTACATTTCATCCCTCCACTAGTACCTTCAGGGTCATTGTCTCAGAAACAATAGTTTGGGCTATGGGTTGAGAGAATTGGCTATTTATTGCTTATTTATCTTCCTGCCTTAAAATCAGCAGCTCAATCAATATCCCTCTCACTGTGATTAAGGAGCAATTCCCAAAAGGGCACTTTTGCCTCCTTGCTCACCAATATGGCTGAGTATTTCCTGTCCTTCCCAATTCCAGGGGGAACTTCCACACAGTTCATCACTTTTATGTCTTGTCCACTGTGGAAAACTCACTTCTTCATGCTTACAAGTGGTGACTGACAGCTAGACATCATTGCAAGTGTCAATAGTATCTCATATGAATAGACCTGGAGTTAACTTCCATTTTTTCCCATGCTAATAGGGTAGGTTGGGGGGGGGGGTGACACTACAGGTAATCCAGATCATTGCTATTTGACTTTGGAGTGAATATTTGTAATAATATTTGAATGTGGCTGTGGCTGATGTCCTGGGATTTATTACATTTCAAGTTAAATGAAGCACTTACTATCTGTATGACCTTGGATGATGATGTTAATAAGTTAGCATTTATACATTATTTAAGGTTTGCAAAGCACTTCACGTTCATTTTATCGGTTGACTCTCTTAACCCTAGGAAGAAGTTCCCATTATCATCCCTATGAGGAAACTGAGGCTGAGAAAAGTTAAATGACTTGCCCAGAATTACAATATTTAAAAATATCTGAGGCAGGATTGGAACTCAGGTCTTCCTGACTTGATCTGAGGCAGGTAGGTGGTACAGTTGATAGAGCACTGTTCTTGAAGTCAGGAGGACCTCAGTTCAAACCCAGCCTCAGACACTTATTAGCTGGGTGACCCTGGGGAAGTCATTTAACCTCTATTTGCTCAGTTTCTGTGTCTGTGAAATGGGGATAAATTATGGCAGCTATCTCACAGGGTTGTTGTGAGGATCAAATAAGATAATAATAATAAAGTGCTTAGCACAGTACCTGGCACATAGTAAGTTCTATTTAAATGTTAGTTATAATAAAAAAAATAATAATATTGAGGCCACCTCTCTATCCTCTATGCCACCTGTTTGCTGCATCCATTTCCTCAACCATAAAATTAGTTGTTAGAAGAGATGACCTCTGAGGTCCTTTTCCCCTCTAGATCTGTGATCCTCTGATACATGCTAGGACCTAATTTGAAAGGAAATGGAAAACCAATCACTTTCCCTTTGCATTGTGCTGCATCGTGGTTGCTTTCAGACAAACTTGGTGATTCAGTGGTCACAGAGTCCAGCACCACTGGGAACTGAGATGATTTTTCTCTGCAAGTTTACCAGCTACCTGAATTTCAATTACAGGCCAGGGACAAATTATTTTGTTTTAAAAGGCTTTTTTCTGGTACTTGAGCTTCAATATAGGAGGGAACTTCTGGCCTCCTTCATTTCATTACAATTAAATTTACTTCGACAATTGTTTATTAAGCACCAATTAATGTGTCAGGTATTGTGCTAGGTGCTAGGGATATAAAGACAAAAACAAAAGAGTTCCTGACCTCAAGGAGCTTACAGTCTATTGGATAAGCATATAAAAATAAATTTATAAGAATTTTTGAACTGGATCACAAACCACTGGAGGATCCCACATAGGAGGTGGCATTCAATGTGAACTTGGGAGTTAAGAATGCCAAGAGGCAAAAGTGAGGAGGGAGTATATTTCAGATACAGGGTAGGGGATGGCCTGTCCTATACAGGGGAGCATCAAGTAGGTTAGTCTCCGATATTCAGGATTTACTGGGGAGCTAAATTGAGGAGGAACATGTAGGTGGTGTGGTAGATAGAGTGCCCCGCCTGGTGTGAGGAAGACTCATCTCCCTGAGTTCAAATCTGGCCTCAGACACTTACTAATGACCCTGGGCAGGTTTCTTAACCCTATTTGCCTCAGTTTGGTAATCTGTAAAATGGACTGGGGAAGGAAGTGGCAAACCACCCCAGTATCTTTGCCAAGAAAACCCCAAGTAGGGTCACAGAGAGTTGGACACAACTGAACAACAACAAAATTGAGGAAAGAATGATGAGGAAATATTTCCTTTCTTTGTGGGCAAGAAGGAGTTTCAGGGAGGCCTTATTTGTTTTTTTGGGTTTTTGGTTTTGGGTTTTTGTGAGACAATTGGGGGGTTAAGTGACTTGCCCAGGGTCACACAGCTAGTAAGTGTCTGAGGCCGGATTTGAACTCAGGTCCTCCTGACTCCAAGGCCAAAGTTCTATCCACTGTGCCACCTAGCTGCCTCAGAGGCCTTACTTTCTAAGAGAGAGGATCTGAAGTGTGTATGATCAGTCCAGGGAACAGTCAGATGTAATGTTAACAAAGCAATCTTATTCTTGGGGCCCACGCCCTTAATAACCTCGGCTGTGGTCTTTTTTTTTTTTTTTTCAGAGCGACGAGGTTCTCACCGTCATTAAAGCTAAAGCGCAGTGGCCAGCCTGGCAGCCTCTCAATGTGTAAGTCAGGAGCGGACCATGCCTTTGTAACATTCCAGTTTTCAATGTCACAGAACAGACCCTTCTCCACACGGTGCTGGCAAAGAATCAAGAAGCTGCAGTGAAAGCCTCCTGCCTTCTTTACAGTCAGTAACACCTGTCAGGAAGTGATAATGGGGTTGGACTTGTACAAGTATGTATGAAGACCCTCCTCCTGGATTTCATAGCAGGAAATCAGGCTCAGCCAATATGTCTCATCTGATTATAGATTTTAAATAAGACAGAAGGCTTTACTAAGACCACTACCATACTCCATGTATTTCCCAATTATTCTTTCTTGCCTTAAACATAAGGATTTTTTTTTGTTTTTTGAATTAAATTTTATTTTTTCTATTATTAAGCATTTATTCAACATGAGGCTAAACTTAGTCTTTAGCCCTAATAGGCATATTTAGTTCTTAAGTTTATAATAATTCATATTTATATGTCTGAAAGAACTTATGTCACAACTCTGTGAGGGTAGGTAGTCCCTGTGTTATTTATACTTACAGATGTTAAGTGGATATTAAGCATTGAAACTCAGATCTCTTGACTCCAAATTCGGTATTCTGCTTACTAGCCCACGGCAGAGGGCCTTTGATGCCTCCTTTCCACCAAATATATCCTTTTCTTACTTTGTAACTTGTTCAAAAATCTCCTGGCTTTAAGTCAGTCTAAAAAAGAAAAGCTATTTTTATAAACCAGCTAAAATGGGATGATTCTTCAGTTTATAAACGTATTCCCATGTCAACAACAAGGCAATCTAATGCTTTTACAGTACAATTCCATTTACCAAAATTTGGTTTAGAGATCTTTAGTTGTTTCACAGAGGTGATTTCAATTGGCCAAAGGATGAAAATGGTATAGCCAATTCCTAATGCTAGTCAATATTCACTTTGGAAGAATAATTAAAATGTTATCAGGATGGGGCAGCTAGGTGGCACAGTGGATAGAGCTCTGGCCTTGGAGTCAGGAGGACATGAGTTCAAATCTAGTCTCAGACACATGATACTTACTAGCTTTGTGACCCTGGGCAAGTCACTTAACCCCGATTGCCTCACCAAAAAGCAAACAAACAAACAAACAGATGTTATCAGGCTCTTAAACTTGGCAATTATAAAATCTCTATCCTTTGTGTTTATAACATATGACCCTATTATACTTTATATAGTCAGTCCTATAACAATTGAAAAGAACCTTTTTAAGCATTATTTTTAAGAGTATAAATATATATATATATATATATATACACACACATACACACAGAGACAATACACATATACACAGACACACACACACACACACACACACACACACACATATAATATATATATATATATATATATATATACATGTATACACATGCACATACACACACATATATATTATATGGGGGGGAGGGCTTAATACATTTTGGTGGCCTAGAGTCAGTTGATTATCAATATTAAGCCTTATCACAATAAGGAAGTCAGGGCAATTGAACTGGAGGGGCAAGGAGGCAGCTACTACTGCTAATAGTCCTGAGGAATATTATACCCTCTCTCCCATGTTAAGATTATATAGTCAGTATATTAACCCTGGGACCATAAGACAATAAATTTAGAGCTGAAATAGACCTGAGAAGTCACCTTGTTCTCTGTTGCTATTTACAGATTGGCCCATTACCACTTCTGCTTGAAAACTCTGGGTGGCTTTCTCTGCTTTCTATGTATATTTGTATTCCCTTCTCTTGGGTATATCCTTGAAGAAATGTGTGCTGGGCCATGCTGCAGTGTGCTTGAGCTTTGGGGCACAGAGAACACCAAGGTTTTGGTGCTGTGAATCTGGGTCACAAGATCGTTGGTAGCTATAGCCTCAATAATGCTAAACAAATCCTTTCTCATTCCTTCAGCTTTGCCTCTGTATTCTGACCCTGGGAATTTAAATACCTCGGTGCTTATTTTAATCAAATGATTTTCTAGAATCCTTGTACCCTAATAGTAAAGGGTACAGTTACTGCAGTTGTCAGAGCTATACTGAAATTCCATCTCACAATAAGTCTTACCCTCACTACCCCTTCCACATAGAAGCCCTACCCTATTTGCACTGTTGAACAGAGATCTTGGGTTAAGATAGTATGAGGGTCCCAGAGCAATAAACCTTACAAAACAGTTTCCCAGCTTCACTCCTCAGTCCGAAGCTGTGTTCATCACATGGACAAAATTCATTACTATGATATTCTAATACTCCCAAGATCCCTGATTTCCTCAGTGTGGTTATTCACTCCATTGATAAAGATTGAGATTCCTCTATAACTTCATTGATAGTTTTTGGAAATTGCAGTGGGCTAGACTTAGAGGCACATTCTATAATCGCTACTCTAGGGAAGGCTGAGGTGGGTGGACCGATGGAGCTTAAGAGTTCTGAGCTGCAGTAGGGCTCAAGCTGATTGGGTATCCTCATCCAGTCACCAATATGGTGAGCCCCCCCCCCCTCCACCTGCCCCAGCAGTGGAGGAACAATAGGCCCTGGTCAAAAATAGTGCAGGTCAAATCTTCTCTGCTGATCATAGAGAGATGAGGCCTATGAGTAACCACTGTACTTCCTGCCTGGACAAGATAGGGAGAGTCAATCTATAAAAAAAGAAAGAAAAAAGAAAGTTACTGAGACCAAAATATTCATCATCCCATGGTCCACCTGATGATTGAGTCTATCTGAAATTAACTAGATTGATCCTTGGACCATAAACATGTGGTGCACTGCCAAGCCTCAACTGAAAACTTTTTCAGGATTCTAGTTCTTGCCAAACTCATTTGCAATTAGCACAGCTTTGAGAACCCAGGCTTACTTTTCCCAATAAGCAAGAGCTTGAAGAAACTTGAAAGCTCATATGAAAACAAGCATTCAAAGTGGTACCATGTCCATCCAGCTCCATAAATATAACAGCTGAATTTATAAATACCTGAGCCAATTTCATTTCCTTGGACTTGTGGAGAATTTCTCAAATAGGCTCTAATCTTCATAAGTGAAACTTTGGTTGAAGTACCTGTTGAGATGAGTTAGCATCTAAATTTTCTTAAATTATAATTTGAACTGTTCAGAGTAGGTCATTCTCCTTGTGCCATCTTGCTACCTGGTAACCTTGGGACAGTACCTTCATTTCCTAGGACCTCATTGGTCTCATTTGTAAAATGGTAGGACAGAGGGATTCATCTAATTATCTCTCAATCTCTATTAAGATCAAGTAGATTTAAGCTTTGTGGCAGTATGATTCCAAGTTATGCCTCTTGCCATGATACAAATCAGCTTCCACCCAAGTCCTCCAGTCCCACCCATGATCTGTTGAAGCCCCTTAACTCAGGAATGTTTAGATTAGTGGTTCTTAACTTGGGGTCTATGAAATTTTTAAAAAATATTGTGTTAACTATATTAAATCTAAATTCCTTTTCTAAAATGAAATCTGAATCTTACCTCTTTTCACACGTGGAGGCTCCAGATATATTCTGTTTTGCCCTTACCCACTCACTGACTTTATTTCTGATAAAATTAATAACTTTCAATGGTGACAAATAATGAAATAAGCATATAGGACAAGGAATAACATTTCTCATAAAGCATTAGCATTTAAAGAATAAAAACCAAATGAATAACTGAAAAAACAAAAAATGTATCTATTCTGTGTCTCATTTGTCTGAAGTTCTGCTACCTTTGGCCTCCTTTCCTAATTTTTTTTATATAGTTTTAGTCATTGTATCTGGAGAGTCCTGGTACTACTAATCATTGATCTCACTTTGCATCACTTCACGTATCTTCCTATCATTCCCTATATTCTTCGTACCATAATATTTCCTTAAATTATTAGACCATAATTTATTCAACTATTCTCTGTTGGACAGAAAAGAGGTATCTATTTTTTTTGTTTTTAAAAAATTAAACATCACTGAATTTTTTAACAGATGAATCCAGACTTCACAGAACAAATGCCCTTAACAAATGCAAATGGATTCAGTCAAAGGTCTGCACTTGAGGACCTAGAGGGCCACATGTGGCCTCAAGACCCAGGTTCCCCACCCCTGGATTAGGCTCTTTTGATCCTTTTAAAATTTCAGGATATTGTCCTGTCAGTGGCATTATTGGGTCAAAAGGTACGATTAGGTCTTTTTTTTTTTTTGCTTATTTAACAATGCAGCTTTTTTTCACTCTATGTATCTTTCACAGAAAATAATAAAATTCTGGAATAAATAATTTGATTAATACCCAACTCAATACATCTTTTATGTAAAGCAAAGTGTATTGTGCCATCAAGAGTCCTTCTTTCTTACTGTAGTGAGGTATTATCTCTTTTCTCAAAGAAAAGATGAATCATTTTAATTGAATTTTGAATTTTTATTAGTATCCTTCTGTTTACATAGAACTATTGTTTCCCCATCCTCTGGCCTTGAATCCTGAAATGCCCATTTTCTTTTTGATGACAAAACAGCAGACTATCTAAAGGCCAGGAGAGAAGATAACAGAATAAATTTAAAATTGCTCTATAGAATTTTAGTACAAACCATACTTTATGATGCAACTTTAAGATATCAAGCTAGTATTTGGTCCAGGAAGGCAGTCTAGGATTCTGACAGGGATATCCCTCCCATAACGTGATGACCAGGCTTCTGAGTACCAAGGTCTCTAACTCTTAGTACTGCACAACTGCTTCAGATTCTTCTTTTTCTGTTAATATAAACAAGTTGATTTATATTGGAAATGCACATATCAAGTCAATAAATAAGTTAATGTGAAAGGAGGGCAAGGCTGGCTTAGTCTGAAAGAGATCTCAATTTTCAAAAGCCTGACTAGAAGATAAATTGAAGTCTCAAAAAGGTGGTGGTATGAAATAGTGGAAATATTCTATTCCTGGACTGGCCAGGGGCTGATTGAGAGACCTACATGACTTGGGAGGCATTGCAGGTATGCTACTCATCCAGTCAGGTCAGCAAAATCTGCAGTGATAAAATTGTATTTTGTGAGGAGCCAAAGGCAAGGGGTGGTTTGTACACAGCATCAGAATTCATTAGCATTGTAAGAAGCACAAAGTATTGAGCAAATGGGGCCCAAGGCAGGAGGCATGTCTGGAGATCAGATGAAGAGATCAGCAATGTGGTGGTGATGAGAGCCAAGGGGGAGGAATGAAAGAGGGCAAAGTATGGAGCACAGAGGGATCGGACATCTAAACAGGTTTGAGCTTGCCCGAAGACTTTGTACCCGATTTGTTATGCTCACCGTGGTAAATGTGTTGCTATCCTTTTAAACTTTGGAGAGTTCTATTAACCCTTCCTGCCCTCTATATTTTTGCATACTTAACTGCAATGGAAAGGATACTGAACTTGGAGTCAGGAGTGGCCTGGGTTTGAATACTTTCCTGACACTTACCAGCTGTCTGATGGTAGGCAAAAAGTCTCAGCTTTCTATTATGTGAGTATAGAAATACCTGCAAAAACTAGAAGTAGCTAGATGGCCCAATGATAGAGTACTAGGCCAGGAATCACAAAAGACCCAAGTCCAAATCCAGCCTCAGACACTTACTAGTTGTGTGACCCTGAACAAGTCACTCAACCTCTGTTTGCTCCAGTTTCCTCATCTCTAAAATGAGGATAATAATGGTACCTCCCTCCCAGGGTGGTTGTGAGGATCAAATTAGATCACAATTGTAAGGCAATTAGCATAGTGCCTGGCACACAGTAAGTACTATTTAAATGTTAGCTATTATTATTATTACTCCTAGTGTCACGAAGCTCAAATAAATGCACATAAAGCATTCTGTAAATCTTGAAACACTATGTAAATATTAGCTATTTTCATTTTTTCCTGGCTCTCCCAGTCCCTTTCCTTACAACACAACTAACTCTGTAGTATGAAGCCTGCTCAAACCCGAAAGCTTGAGCTGTTTTTGCTTTGATAGGTTGGATACAGGCAGCCTCAGAAACTAGTTTGCTCAGGAGAATTATAGACAGCGACTGATGCTTCATAAAATTATTGCTTTAACTTCCTAATTTAGATATCATTGAGTCTTACACCAGGTCTTTTGACTGCAATGCATGCACACTTTCCATTATGCCATATCTTATCTATGACTGGCAGCCATTGAAAGCTTTTGATCAAGAAAATATAATGATTATTGTGCTGCATTTTGAGCAATAATCTAGCAGAGTGTGTTGGCTGGAGATGGTTTTGAGATACTAAAGGTCATTATGATAATCCAGGTGAGAGGTTATATGTGCCTAGTCTAAAGTGGCATCAGTGGGAACGAATAAAGAGATAGGAAAGAAATTGACAAGATGGAACTGAAAAGATCTGGTGTTTGATTGGAAAATAACAGAAGGATTAAGTTTGAGGGGGAAAGAGAAGTCAGTGATGACTCTATGATTTTAAACCTGGTGATTTGAGATATCATCACTGATTGAAGAATAATAGAATGTTAAGAAAGGACTTCTGATTCCTCCTATAGTGTTAGACAACCTGAAGATGCCTGTAATATCACCAATTCATCTTTTTTTGCAGTTCTTCCAATCCCTTGTCTAGCACAGTGTCTTACACATAGTAGGAATGGAATAGGTGGTTGCTGCAGTGAATTGTTGAATTTATCCTTACGCCATATAGTTCAATCTCCTCACCATCCTAATTACCCTTCTCTGGATGTGAAAGTTGATAAATCTCCTGCCTAAAATGTGGCACCCAGAATGAATCACAAGAATCCAACTCATATGTGAAGCAGGAATCCCCTTTACAATATCCCCAAGTAGTCATCTAGGCTCTGTTTAAAAACCCGCAGAGATGGGTAATTCACCAACCTTTGGGAGCTCTTGGGGAAGACTCTAATTGTTAAAAAGGGCAACTTCCACCCATTGGTTCTAATTTTGCCCTTTGGAGCCCTTTCGCTACTTCACAAAATTGGGTTTTTAAGAGACCTCAGAGGGAGGCAACAGTAGAAAGAGTGCTATCTCTGGAGTCAGAGGATCACTCATTGTGCCTACTTTGTAGGAACAAGAAGAACAGGTATTTTACTTCTTCAACATGGCAGCCCTTTAAAAAGATAGCTCTTATATTTCCTCCACCCACTTATTCCCCACACACAACTTTTCTTTTATCCAGGATAAACATACTAAGCCATTTCAATTGATCCCTCATGTATCATGGTCTCTACACCTCTCTCCCATGCTGGCTGTCCTTTCTTGGATGTGGTCTAGTTGGTCAACATCCTTCCTAAAATATTAGGCATCTTGATGACACCCATAATGTTACCAGTTGGTATTCTCTTTTTCAGGCTAATCATCCCTATTTCTTTCAACCCCATGTCTAGCATAGTACCTACACATGGTAGGAAACAAATTGTTGCTTCAATGAATTGATTTTTTTTGAATTGATCATTTTACAAAATAGTTCTCAATTCCCCTCACCATGCTTATCACTCTCCTCTGGATGTGTTAGTTTGTCAGTCTTCTTCCTAAAATGTGGTTCTTTAAACTGAACATTAGAATCCAGATATACTCCAGCAAGGGCAGAGCATGGCAGAGTAGCATCTTTGTTCTGAACACTATTTTTCTATTGATACAGATGAAAATCACATTGACTCTTTTTTTTTTATCAGTTGACTTGTGTTAAGCTTCCAGTCTATCAAATTCTTCAAATCTTCTTTATGTGAACTGTTGTCTTGCCCTATCATCACCCTTTCCCCTCACATCTATGAGGTTGATTTTTTCCTAACTCAAGTATAGGAATTTTACATTTTGCTCTGTTACATTCCTCTTACTTCATCCAATTCATTGTTCTAGCCTGTTGATATATGTTTTATCCTAATTCTGTCATCTAGCATATAAGTCATTCCAGCTTCAAGCCATTTGAAAGTTTGATAAGCATGCCATCAATAGCCTCATCTAAGTTTTCAACAAAAAAAAAATGTTGAAAAGAACTGAGGCAGGGACAGACACTGAAAATTCAGGTCAGTCATCTATTGTTAGCCAGGTACTGGGGTACAGAGACAGAAATGAGATAACACCTGTTGTGATTAAGATGGAAGGAGCTTTCATTTTCATAAGGGAGGAAAAATATATAAACAGATGAGTAAATACAAGATACAGAGCAAGTAGATATTTTGTAAAGGTGGTGAAGCACAATTACCTGTACTTCACTGGAAATTCCCCTCTACACTGATATCTCTCCAGGAACCACCACTCATTGGTTCTGGTTATCCTGAATCATCCTGAAAATCCCTTAGGCAAGGAGTTGGAGGGGGGTGTCATATACACATGTGATTTTTTTTCTTGATGAAAACATTTTCCCTTATAGTAATACATACTTCTCTTAATGAGTACTAACAAACCACCCAACAACTTTGTAAAATGTTGCAACACTTAGAATTTAAAGAATAGATTCTATCCCCCTTTTTAATTTCGGATTGAAATTTTCCATCTCACAAGAGCATCTCTGACCCACCACCATTCAGCAACTGTCACCTCTCCCCTCCAAACTGGATTTTTTTCACCCCAATTAAACAAAAGTTTCACCGTTTTTAGCTTTGCAGCCAAGTCTTTAAATTTCCATTTTTGCAGTGCTTGGACTACTGCGGCTGTATTAACGACCACTAACAAAGGATGATTCAAATTAACATGCATTTCAATTTCAACAAGTGAAAGGAATTAGATTTTTGAAAAAACCCAAGGCCAGAAATGACACCCATAAATCAGTATTGTCAGTCTTTTATGTTATTTCATTAGCAAGCAATAGAATTAATCAAAAGCAGAGTCCTTCATAGCATATCAACTATAGTTCACACATAGTATAAAGTAATCTTTCCTTCAAACTAAGTCCAATTTTCCATAGAACCTACCTTTCTAGTCTGTCTTTGGCATGATCCAATTAAGAAATCAAATAAGGGAACCAAAGACCAGCTATAGGAGCAAAGTTTTGTTTTGCAAAAACAGTCCTACCACTCATTAATGTGTTTGCTCAATTGAGGTTAATGGAATTCTCTGCTCCCCAGCTCATTAGGAAGCAAGACTGACCTACTTTTGCAAGGTCCTGGCCACTGCAACTGACATGGTTTTCAATGAGTATTGTTTTTATCTCCAGGATCCATTTAAACAAGTGTAATCGGGAATGAACAAATTAGCTTGCAGATCATTGTTTAGCTCTGGTAAAGCTCATCCAGTTGAGAACTATAATTAGGAAAGGGAAAGATATATTTTGAGCAAAAGAATTAAAAATTCCTCACTCATTTGTTATGCATTTGACTAAGTGGGATGCTGGCTTATTCTGCATTCTAATTACCAAGTGTAGTTGTGAGATGTTTATTTTTATTCACTCCCTTAAAAGTGAATAAGGTGAACTATCATCTTCCTTTAATAACCATCCATTATATTTAATTAACACTTGATAACATAAATTGTTCATAAGTTGTTCCAGCTAAATAGTTTTGAGATGAAATCTAGAATACTATAACTTCAGTGAGAAAGCAAATGAGAGGAAGGTTATACACTACTTTTATAATTTCCACGTCTTCACCAGAACAGTTTTATTATATAAACTTGTTCTTTATGATATGGATATTTTCAGCTGTAGCTATGGAATGTTTCAGGAGGCAAGGATGATGGTAACTTCAGTGACTCCTCTGCCAAAAAAAGGATGTAGTTGAATCATATGTGTGCCAAAGGGCCATCCAATTTCCTTAAGGATGGCTTCTACCAGCTGTTACAGTTAAAATAGTGTGAAAAAGAAAGAGAGAGAGACCAGCTGGCTGGCTGCTTAGGCTGAGTCTCATGTGGTGTCTGGAGATTGATGGGGTCACAAGAGCTAGAGCTCAACTTTGAAAGTTCACACATTCAATTGTATCTGATCACCAGCATGAACAGGCTTTGGAGGACTAATTCACACTGGTTGAATCCATGTGGGACAAATTGATGTTTCGGGTGCCAATTTTCCAATTTCCAATGGGAGGCATATCGGGAAGGTAACTGCTACTAGTCATTTGCACCACTCACTGGTTTTCTATTGGGTAGGTCCATTCAGGAGATAGCACTTGCTCAGAAGTTTGCTGGGACAGGATCAGATCAGAGCAGAAGGAGTTGCATATCGTTGTTTTAACCAAGCCTGATTTCCTCAATGTGGGAGGCTCCCACCTCTGCCATTGCATTCTGAAATTTGTAGCTTCTATTTAAGTCCTTTCCCTATACTAGGGTATTCCTCTCTAGATGCTGATCATTCAGCATGGAATGTCATTTCTCCTTATTCTTTTTGGAGATGGTGTGGTACAGTGGAAAGAGGACAGAATTCAGAGACACAGAGCTTAGGTTCAAATCCCCACTGTGCCACTTAATAGCCATGTAGCCTCGGGCAAGTTCCTTAACTTCTCTGACCTTTAGTGGACTAGATAAATTCTATAGTCCTTCCAGCATTAAACTTATTCTCTGCAACTTACAAGCAAAAGAGTGCTAACTACTACTTCACTACTGGGAGCAGCTAGGTGGCTAGGCCCAATGGATAGACTGCTGGGCCAGGAGTCAGGAAGACTCATCTTCCTGAGTTCAAATCTGGCCTAAGACACTTCCTAGCTGTATGACCCTGGGCAAGTCACTTAGCCCTGTTTGCTTCAATTTTCTTACCTATAAAATGATCCAGAGAAGGAAATGGCAAACCACTCCAATATCTTTGCCAAGAAAACTCCAAGTGGGGTCACAAAGAGCCAGACACAACTGAAAAATGGCTGGAAGTAAAGTACTACAATTTACAGGTGAAAGAGTACTGAACTTGGAATCAAAGGACCTGAATTTAGTTCCCAGCTCTGCCACCTGTCTGAACTTGGACAATTCATTTGCCCTCAGTTTCTTCAACTATAAATTAGAGAGTTGAATTAGATGACCCTTAAGATCCCTTCTCTCTCTTGATCTATGATCTCTGATTCTTTTCTAGACTCCAAATGCCCCCAGCATTCTGTTTTAAGTCTTACCACAAATATGTTACAATGAATTATATCAGAGTTTATTTTCCAACAATTCTGTTTTAGTCTTCATAGGTTGTTGAGCTAGGTAAAAAAAAAACCCATAAAAGTAATAACATCCAACCTCTTCACTTCACAGAGGAGGAATCAGAGGCCCAGAGCAGTTAAGAGATTTGCCCAAAGTTATATGCATTAGTATATAAGCTGAGCCTTTAACCTAGATCTCCAGACTTCTAGTTAAGTACTAGGACCCTTGGCATTGACTATAGTCTCTGAAGTTTGCTAACCTTATTCTAACACTGCACCTGTTAAACTCATCTGCTATATGGGGATTTTTTTTCCCAGTCCAATCTCATAAGGTAACTATTTCTGCCTTTGTTTGGGGCTTATAGCCCCCTTTGCAGAGACTATACCATGATCCACAAAAGTAAGCCTTTGGCTTAGACCTAAAGGCAATTAGGTATAAAGTCTACTGAGCCATGCTCTTCCAATGTAACCTCCTAGCTTTGAGCTACTTTTGGAAAAGTATTGGTTTCAATAAGTCTATGGTCCCTTCAGCTCTGACTTTCTATGAGTCTATGAGAAGCTACTCTCAGGCTCTGAGAATCTTATACTTAGAGCTTTCAAGTGGTGAATTACTTGGTTGCCTCCTAGTGTCTGAAAGGAGTTCCTGCAGCACCTGGAGCTTATAAATTCATAGCATATCTGAAATTGAACAGAAACATTTTCTGGCAAAGTAGAACCCAAGAATTCCAGAATATCAAGTTAGAAAGGACTTCAGAGGTCAGTTACCCTGGCCTGTTCAATATCCCCCTCTGTGTCATCTTTGAGGTTTGGCTTGTAGGTGTTTTCAAGTCATTCTTCTGAGTTTGTATCTTGAGCATCACCATAATGGTTTTGGTTTTTGGTTTTGTGGTTGGGTTCTTTTTCTGTTATTTGCTCACTTTTCCAGTCTAATTCTTGAGTTTGGACTTTATGTTAGAGTTGGGTTCTGTTCAGTGGTGGGTGGGGCAGCATTGGGTATATCAGGCCCAAGATTCTGCAGCTTTCACAGCTCAGTCTGTTTTCAGTGCTTCTAATGTGTTGTGCTCCAAGGAGAGGACTCTTAACTTCCCTGCTACTTTGTGCTCCGCTCCTTGAACAGGTAGGGCCCCTGTTCCCTCTGGATCACAACCTCTCCTCTCTACCTAGAATTGTGAGTGATAACTAAATAATGGGTAACAGAGCTGTTAGACGGCACCTATTCCTGATCCTTGTGCTAGCACGAGGATCCTCTGGGATGTCTTTCCACCCCACCTTACCGCCCTTGGGCACTGGGCAGCTCCTTGCTGCTACTGCCACTGTGCTGAGCTCCTGCTCAGCTTATCCCCCAACTTCCTGATTATCTTCCTAAGCTCTTTTGAGCTGGAAAAAAAATGATTCACTTTGACTTTTTCTTGGCTTTCCCTCTCAGAATTTTCTAGGAAATTGTGGAAGAAGTTTTGGGAGAACTCAGACCTAGTTGCCAACATCTCACTCTACCATCTTGACTCCTCCCTCCGTATCATCATGTAGTCATCTAGCCTTTACTTAGAGACCTCCAAGGAGAAGCAACCTACAAAGTCCCAAGACTGCCCTTTACACTTTGAGATAGCTCTAATTGTTGGAAAATTTTTCCTAATATTGACCCCAAACCTGCTTCTAACTTCTACCCCATCCTCTTCATTTCTGCCCCTTGAGACCAAGTAGAACAAGCTGAATTTTTCTTCCATATGACAGTCTTTCAAGTCCTAAATGAAAGCTATTATTTCCTTTCTAGTCTTCTTATGTTCACACTAAAAATTTGTATTTTCTTCAATTGACCCTCATATAGCATGGTCCCCAGTACCCTTGATATCCTGGTTGCTCTCCTATCGCACCCCATCTTTTCTATGTCCTTACCAAAAAGTAGCCCCCAGAACTGAATGCTGGCCCTGAGAAGTGTTCTGATCAGAGCAGACTGAAGCAGTGCTACAACCACCTGGATGCTGTGCCTCTCTTAATGCAGTCTGGCATAGAATTCCTTGTTCTGGCTGCTGTGTCACTCTGTTGACTCATTTGGAGTCAACCTGCCCCAGATCTTTTTCCAGAGAACTGCTTTGCAACCAAGTCATTCCTGGCATGTGTTTGTAAATGCTGCTTCCCAGCCCTCCCTCTCTCGTGACTTTCCAGGGTCAGTTGTAACAGGAACAAGTCCTGAGTTGATCTAAGTACTTTATTGCCCCTCTTTACTCTGGCCAGCAACTACAGAAAAGTCTTGCAGAAGAAAGCATAGCTAAATAATACAACTTTGTTATTCTGTAAGTTACATCCTTTTTTCAATCCCTTCCATCCTTATGATGTTCACAAGCATTGCTCCTCACTTAACTACCTCAAGTGATGTTCAAGCACCTAGGTATCCCACCTCTACTTTTATTTACCCTCATGATAGCATTGGCACACAGTAGTATAGCTTTGCACATATGCAGGATATATTCTAGGAAGCAAACTCCTATGTCATTCTAGTAAATGTCTTACTGCATCCCAGTTACTTAATCATCTGCTAGCGCAGAGGTGTCAAACCACACATAGTGGTAATACTCCCACGAGTGACTTGAACCAGATAAAAATGTAATTGGGAAATATTTAACAAAATAAAATATAAAATAAAACACTGTTCCTTTGTGGTTTTCTAAGTTGATATTTTGCCCACGGTGATCCTTATGTTTGATTTACTGGTGCCACTTGAATTTGAGCTTAACACCACTGTTCTGGTGCTTCAGTTTACCTCTTGGTTAGCCCAACCTGGTTCCATTTCTCTGGTCTCTTATGAAAATTCTTGTTCTCTGCTTATGTTCAGTAAATATAGCTGAGTTTTTGTTCCTAGTCTTGCCTGAACTGATAGTTCTTGAGATAAAATACTTGTCAAAAGTTGAGACTAGATTTTTCTACAGATAAAACACAGCTAGTA